ACACACACACACACACACACACACACACACACACACACACACACACAACCAAAGATAAAGGTTTTACAGCGCTTAAAGATAATTTAGCTGTTGGTTTAGTGCACCATGCAAGATAAGCTGCTACTGCCATGACATGTACACTACAAAAGCGTCACAGCTGGCTCATAACATACGTATGTGCAGCAGATGTGTTTACAAGAAGATAACTGTTTACTGTAACCGTCATTCAAGCCCTATTATTGACACTGTAATTGCCAGTAACCCTCATCAATGATTACACATAGAAATGAAAGTAAAGCAAACTGAAAGTGTAACCCAGAAGACAAGAAGCTAATGTACATTTTCATTGTTTTCAGATTGTCCTCATATTGAAAGTACATTCTGCTATGGTGCAAGGCCTGATGTCCGCATGCCGCTGGTCACCATGCAAATGTTAGTCACAGCCAAAGAAGAACAAATAGAGTTTAAGCTTTGAAGAAAGTTCCTGTTCCCAGACAAGGAAGTGCAGATGATTCTTTATGGACCGGTGGTGTGAGACAGGGACACGCTATGAACAGAGCGCCTCTGGGATGCAACAGTTTCATTTTACTTGACACAAAGCCACGGATGAGGACACACCCACAGACACACAGGTCCTGTTCATCCTCTGTCTGTCTTTGATGTGTGACACACTTTTGCTCGCTGAAAATTGCAGGTCGACAATAACTTGGAACAATGAAACTTAACTAGTTACCAGTACGTATCTCAGCAGATCCCAGAAATCTAAAAGTGAAAAACAACAGCACCGAAGCATCGGCTTGCTCCTGCAGAAACTTCCAGAATGCATGCGCTGAGACATTTTTCATCTGCTGATAATCAGTAGTCATGTCTCAGGATCTTCCAAGCATGCAGACTTATATGGTTTAATACTAAGAGCTCCTGCAGGACTAGAAACAATTGATTTTCCCTACTCTTTTCATCCATCTGTCATGCATCGAGGGGCCCTCACACACTGCAGGCTCTCATGCATGTGTGTATTTTCTGTTGAACCGCTGCATTCATTCATGCACACACACACACGCACACACACACACACACACACGCGCGCACACACACACACACACACACACACACACACACACACACACACACAGTCAGTAGTCTGCATGGCTCTGTAATTAGACACAACAAATCCTCTGTTAAACTGGCTGTGTTTCAGTCTCTTGCTTCTCTCCCTGTTTCACAGAAATGAAACTTATGGAGTACACGCACACCTGCAAACAAACACAGAGTGCGTATACTAACGAGCACGCAAGGCACATGCTGTTACAAAATGCATTGCGCAGAATGAGACGATAGTGATTTAGAATATGTCTTCAATGCACGAAATAAATGCAAAACAAACGTGCAGCGAGAGCAGTGTGTGTGTGTGTGTGTGTGTGTGTTTCTGATTAAGCAGAGACAGCCAGAGAGCTGGAGATCCGGCCCTCCTTCTCTTTGTCTCTCTCTCTCTCTTTACTTGAATCATATCTCGCTGCACTGATCGGAATGTATTCTGCATGCTGCAACTTTGCATTGGGAACATAATGTTCAACACCCAAAAAGAAAAATTTGATTAGATTTGATTACAGCGATTATTCTCAAAGCCACCCCAGCTAGTTATAAGCAAAGGTGATGAGCTCCCTTCTTTCTAACTCCACACCACCAGACATATTTTCCTTTTCTTACTTATAGTCTTCAGTCCTAACTGACTTAAGTGGCATCACTGTGCAGCTACCTCCTGGAGCCACGGAGGGCTCGGTATACTACGTCACTTGCTCGGCCCGAATGCACAATCGTCCACATTCAACGTGTCCGCAGTTTGCAGGAGCGTGCAGTGCCAACATTTTTCCTGCTGACTTTGCTGCCCTAAAGACCACAAAACTGGTTGCAGGCCTGTTTCCAAAATGAGTGAGGAGCAAACACATTTTAACACCTGATGAAGAAGATGAGTGGTGCAAGACTGGAACTAAGCCCAGGAGGTTTATGTCAGCGCTGCAGAGTGGGCATGATTAACACCAACAGATTTAATGGAACCAGCAGGCTAGTCTGAGTGCTAGTTGAGTCAGGCTAGTCCTGATAAAATGAAACTGACCATAACAGAGACTTACACACAGCCTTTCTGCCTCCCTGCCTCTGCCTCTTTAAGTAATGCCAGCTGACCTGTAGTCTTTCCTTAACTTTCAGTTTGCCTCCCTCGCTCTGTTGTAACATGACCACTTGGAGCTTCATCTGGCTCTCACTGAAAAACAAGTTTATATTTACTTATTTACTTGGTGTAATGCCCATATTTATGTGTGTGTATGTGTGTGTGTGTATGCAGACATTTGACAAGCTCTTTAGGACGAGCTGATGCAGCGTGTGATGTTTTAATGTGCAGGTACTGTATATCTAGAATGGCCTCACTGTACATTACACTACTTATTTAACAGATCTATGCCGAACACATGAATCATTTGGCGTGAAACACTGATTAGGTAATGTACACGCCCCCCCCCCCCCCCCCCCCCCACACACACACACACACACACACACACAATAAAGTAAAAGTGAGATTGGAAAAACATTCAGTGAAGTGTACTTCAAGTGAAACAGCTGTTACTTAGAAAGAACACTCTTCTGAGTCTCACTGGTCATCATAACCACCCTTTGACCACAGCTAAAGAGGAATAGGACAAATGCTCCACTGTATGATGGGTTGATTGCGTCTCATTAATACTACATGACAAAAGAAAATGGGATTCAAAGGGGAACTGTGTTGATGTGACTTTGGTGTTGAAAGTCTAAATAGTGGAATGACTGTCAGGGTGTCACAATATGAGCATTTCTGAGATGAATCACACCAAATGTGGAGGCCAGAGAAACCTTTCTGTGGAAGAGCTATTAAAAACAAATGAAGAAGTGAAGCAGCGACACTGGTTCGGTTTCTCTCGAGGCACGAGTCAACTGATTTGTCCGCTACTGCCTCTTTTTTTTTTTTTTTTTTTTTTAACCTAAAGATCAGAATGTTCCTTCTTTTGTGACTTGATATTATACACGAGTGCTCTCTGACTGCTGAGATCATTATCATAACAGGACTTACCTTGTGGGGCCAAATGTTTAAAACATGCACCTGATGTGCACACTCTTCTGGAGACTAATGACGAACGTGAAAACATTTAAGTAATGTCTAATGATAAAAATACACTGAGCACATCCTGTGCTCTTCTGAAATGACATATGGATTACAACCGAACATTTGCAGCGAATTAATATAACAATTTTTATGACAGACTGAGAGAGACTGACTACAAAGCCAAATATTAAAGGGACAGTTCAGCTCAAAATCAAAATGACATAATTACAATTACATAATTGTGCGATAAATGTAGATGTCTGCCTTTTCACCAATTTAAGGGGACTATATGTCACTCGGCTTGTGGTGCTTGAAGTGCCAAAAAAAACCACATTTAATAAAACTCAACAGTAATGTCTATTTCCAGAAATCAGGACCAAATTACTTACAATAATCCACAAACCTGGTTGTGAGTCGTTTCATATGTAGCCGCCCACAATAAAGTCTTTTAGGGTGAACTGTGCGTTTAAGGCTCATAAAACGCCACTAAAAACCAGCACACCTTGTGGAGTAAACGCTGCCATTACTCGGACCTGTCCCCATGTCTTTCTGTAACGTCCGACTGTCATGTGGCTTTTGCGGTTTTCTCCAAATAACAAGCGCGTTCAAACGAACTGAAAGACCAGAGGCGGCCGAGATCAGTTTCACTTTCGTTTCAGAGAAACTGGCTGGCTGCCGCTAAAGAGTCGTGTCTATTCGTGGAAGCGGGCGGAGCTGACGAGAGTATAAAGGAGTGTTTATCACGGGAGGACACGCATTCACACAAACACACAGGAGAGTCTTAACCCTGACGGGTGGAAATCACGGTTCAGTTGCTCCCGAGGTGTCAGACTCACCGTTGCTCTCCACCTCGCGCTGCGTCAAGGATTTACCTGCAAGACAGCAACTCATCTCCACGCGCTCTGAGATTATAGACAAACGGATCTTTAATTAAACAACCGCTGTTGTTAGAACAAAACGGTAAGACTTTTCAAACTGGAATTATTTTTTTCCTCTTTTTTTGGTGCTTTGCAGCATTCATGAATGGTTTTTTTTCTGGGCCTTGTGCAGTGGAACAAATAAGTGATTGAAATGTGAACTGTGTGCATGGACTGTTATTTGGGGCCAACATTGCATGCTGGAGTTTCACTCTTCTTACTCGTGTTTGGTTCTCACTGTCCAGATGTTTGCTGTGGAAAGTAAAACGTCACGAGACAATGCAGCCACTGAAATAACAAAGATAAACATTTGCTCTAAAGATTTACAAAAAAAAAAAAAAAAAAAAATCAGAAATATGACTATAATTTGAATTTTGTCCCCATGATCGTCTGACATTGAAACTAAAAAGATCCCGCAGAATTACATCACCTGTTAATCATTACCTTTCCCTGGATGTTTTGTTTGTTTGTTTGTTGGTAGCACAAGTTGTTCATTAATTCACAGTGGACACACAGGAGGTGAACAGCACACAGGGCAGTTGATATGTGAGGAGAGTTCTGGTGTAGATTGTACTCAGCTGATGAGAATCTACAGGTGTTCATCACCTCATCTGAGTCCAGGCTCCAGCGTCTAGTATGACAAACTGCATATCCCCAAAAAACTCTTCAAAAACTACTTTCTTTTCCTAACTGCGTAGCCTTTTATATCATTGGCTTGAAAAAGTTAGATTTCAACCCGGGATTTCAGTCATTGTCGGTAGAAGTGAGAAAGAAAAAACGCAGTAAGAATCCCCATAAACTGTGTGTGTGTGTGTGTGTGTGTGTGTGTGTGTGTGTGTGTGTGTGTACAGTCCGTGTACAGTAATCTGACTGTGGCTGACTGTATTTTGGCCTAACCGCAGACTCCAGTCATATGAAACAGAGTACCTCTTCATGGAAACTTGTATTTCTAACTCAGTCACTGACTTGTGCACACACGCCCACACACACACACACACACATCTTTGTCTTTTTAGAGCATCAGAGCCAAACATGGCCTCCATTGCCTAAAGGTTGAGTGTTGTTCTTGTGAACAATGACCTTCACTGCCACCTTTATAGTTTTACATGAAGATGTAACTGTTATCTTGAGTTTGACCGGGCTGCTGTGAAACTAGTAACGCATGAATGAATGTATGTTCGTAGTGAAGATAATAACGTGCTCTTTCTTGTCTCGTCTCTCAGGATGTCAGTGTGGTGGTTAGAGATGGGAGAGGGTCTGGGGCCGCTCTCCCCTGTAGGATGGTAGCCGACAGCACAGTGGAAGGCCATGACAAGACCCAGTTGTCCAGCTCTTCATCCTCATCATCATCCTCATCCTCCTCGTCCCCGTCATCGCTGCTGTCCAGGCAGCTCGCTCTCAGCCCTCGCCGCACCGAGTCGGATCAGCTTCAGCGTCGGGCCGCCCCGGATCCGAACCCGAGGTCGGCGTTCGTCCCCTCCGTGTATCTGACCCACTTCCCCACCTTCTCCTGCAAGGAGGACTGCAAGATCATCACAGAGACTGCGTCCAAGCTCGAGCGCAGCGCCTTCTACTGGGGCCCTCTGGGAGTGGACGAGGCCCATCGCATGCTGCGGGACGCCCCGCTGGGCAGCTTCCTCATCCGCGACAGCCGGCAGAAGGACGTCTTCTTCACGCTGTCCTACCACGGCAAGAGCGGGCCGGCCAGCGTGCGCATCGACTACAAGCAGCAGAAGTTCTCACTGGCGGGCAACGAGCGCTCCTTCCCGACGCTCTTTGCCCTTTTGGAGCATTACGTCAATTCTCCCAAGAAGAGCCTGAAGTTCCCATACAGGAGATGGGAGCCAACGCTGCAGGAGCTGTGCAGGAAGCGCATCATGGAGCTGTGTGGCGAAGGGAGCCGGGTGCCGGAGCTGCCACTCACCCACGTTGTCCAAGACTTCCTGTTGGAGTTCCCTTACAAACTATGACCAGCTTGCCATTCAAAGTTCTGGTTGTATTATTCTTCATTTCAAGAAGGCAGTTTTCACCAAGAAAACAGGAGTGTTTCCACATAAAAGCATCTCCCTGTATGGTGCCGAAAAGCTGCAAAATGTATCATAGAAGACAAGTACGGGTCTTCAGTTGCACAGGGCGAGACATTTCAACACACATTACCTCCAGAGACACAACTTGCACACGGACAGAGCGCCTTCTGGTCTTGAGGACGCACGGGAAGTGGGAAAAGGCTGCATTAAGAGAAATCTACACGCGTGATGGCACTGTCACAGCAGCGGGGCCCACTGTGACTGCTCCACTAGAAACTGTAGGGTCTGTATTGTGGCCCCCGGAGGCCCGGACACGTTTAAAAGCGGATCGTGGAAGGACATTAAGAGCATCAACGGTGTGGACTTGTTGGAGGTGGCTGAAGCCGTCAGCAGGCGGTGGTACCAGTAGGACTTGTAGCAGACTTTTAATACTCTAATGTTGTTGAATGTTTACACATCACACGTGAATGTTTACCGGTGCCGATGGCTCAAATACCACCTGATTTCTCTTTCCAATCTGCTGTCATTGTGAAATATTGAAGAGGATGTCAGACGGTATCTGGAGTCACGAGGTCTGGTTTAAATGTACTGTATGTAGAGGCTTACCGTCTCTTACTCCTACTCTCTGCCAGGCAGATCATGAGTGTGTCTTTACTGAATCAGATATGCAAGAATATTTTTTTTTTTTAAATATATTTTATATAATATTTGAAATAAAACTTATTTAAACCAACTTTGCTGGATTTTTAGTAACTTTTTTTCAACTGTGGTATGTCTCTTCCCCGAATCACGTCATTTGCAGACAGACAGACAGACAGACAGACAGACAGACAGACAGACAGACAGACAGACAGACAGACAGACAGACAGACAGACAGACAGACCCTCACAATCACGCAGACAATAGGCCATGCGGACAGACAGGAAGTGCGACCCGGTAGTGTACAGTATCATCACCACAGTGATTCATCTGTGCAGTGACAGGTGGGTGGGGTTACGCGGACTGTTGCGCTTAGAAATGCACACACTTACCAGAAACAGGGGCAGAGGTGACGCATAACGTGTGTGTGTGTGTGTGTGTGTGTGTGTGTGTGTGTGTGTGGGGGGTACTTTTAACCTAGTGGAGAGCCTGCACAGATCAAAATTTCCTCAGGAGGAAGTGGGAAATTTCTTTTGGGGTTAGTGGTTTTGACAGACATGTTAGATCAAGGTCAGGGTTACAGTTTCACATTTTTATTTTGGAGTTATGATAAACGTTACAAGTATGCAGCGCATATCTAAAACTGTTGTGTATAAGCAGTATGGTATTAAAGTAACAAAACACTTTATACTGTACGTAAAGGCACCGTCTCTTAAAGAAGAGATTTCAAAGATGACTGCTTTTTAAACAAAGTGCTGCCATTATTGACTGAAAAGTTCTTTAATGGGTGTGGCCACACCGATCCAGGTGGGTCTACCTGGTTTGAGTGTACGACTCATTTGTTTGACAAACACGCTGCACAAACTATACATGTAGTCAGTGTCACATTGGAGCAAAGCCCAGCTGAGCGCTTCTCTGAAGACTGATCTAGTCTGGAGACGACGCTATGTTGAAGGGGTGTGACGGTGTTCAGACAGGAACCTTAAACCACACCTTTTACACACTCTTACCCAGAGCCGTTGCGTTCATCCACGCTGTGTGCCGCAGAAACTGACGACACTTTCTTTTTGTCTGAACCACAAGTTGAAGAGTTCAACTGCAGCATAGATCAAGGAGACATGGATCGTTCAATGTTATCTAAAATGTGGAGTCTCCAGCTGGCGGAAGTATCAGACCACCGAACAACAATGGCGATGCTTCTCAGCAATTTTTCAAGAATAACACAAGTTTTTATTTTTTCCTGACATGCTGCGCTCCCATCTCCGGTCTGCTTGGTAATTGTCCCGAGGATCTAATTATCCGAGTCAGTGGAAGTCCCGGGCTTTGTTAATGAGCCCAACTACAGACAGGAAGAAACTGTTCATGTGTCGTGACGTCGTGGTACTGATGGACCGCAGCTTCCTGCCAGATGGAAGGGGCACGAACAGTTTGTGTCTAGGGTGAGAGGGGTCGGCTACAATCTGTTCTTGAGAGCCTCAGAGTCCTGGAGACAAAGATGTCCTGGAGGGACGGCAGATTGCAGCCAATCACCCTCTCGGCAGAGCGAATGATACGCTGCAGTCTGCCCTTTGTCCTTGGCGGTGGCTGCAGCATACCAGACCGCGATGGAGGATGGACTCAACGATGGCTGTGTAGAAGTGCACCGTCATTGTCTTTGGCAGGTAGAACTTCTTCAGCTGTCTCAGAAAGTCCATCCTCTGCTGAAGCCTTCTTGGTGATGGAGCTGAAGCTGACTTGAGGACTATTTTTCATTCTATATTAATGCTCTCAACCGCGTACTATGCATCTTTAAGTTTTACATCTGTTAAAACGACACCCTAGTTTGTGTTGGTAAAAATTAAAATACTAAAACAGATGTCACGTCAATGTTAAAAAGCACAGCGTGTATTACAGAATATGTGCACAAAACTTTAGAAAGCAGAATTATTTGCTCAAATTTAGCAGTTTCATGGAATTTGTGAGAGCATGCGTCACTTTTTCAGACAGCGTAGCCTACTTCTCATTTCCAACTTCAGGTTATACCTTCAACTAACCTCTTCCTGACACCTAACCCGAACTCCAACCAAACCTTACCATAAGGCTTTGTGATCTTTATGGGGATTTTTTTTAAATTCTTTTTCTTCTCTTGGGTCTAGACAAACGTAGCCACACACACACACACACACACACACACACACACACACACACAATATTGAGTCATACCGAATACAACACTCACAGCTTGATTCAAGTAAAGCCCTACAAGTTTGAAGATATAATTAACTTAGCTTGAGGAAGAGGCTGAGCAGCGGTGGAACACACACACACACACCATTCTGTGTCAGAGATATAAACACTATGATTGCGATATCTTAAGTCTAATAGACATGTTACTGTATCAATCCTCACTTTTTCAAAGTTTTACCTTGAAAGGATGACAGATTTAAGGGCAGTGGTATGTTCTTGTGGGGTGGTGAGTGATTCATACGCAGCAGTTTCATTCATAGCTTCTCAGTATTCAGGACATTCCCGACTATTTTGAGAAGTGAAACGTGAAGTGAGGTGTCCTGTGATCGTGTTATCAGCTGATTTCGGTGGAACCCTCCACTCTCAAAGAGTGGAGGGTTTTCTGAGTTTTCTGTCCTTTAAAGAACACAGACACCCTTCTACAGAAATCAATTGAAAACGGACACCTCAAGAAAAAAGGCCCACGTGTAAAAAGGGGCGAAAGTGACAAAGAATGCAAAACGATGAGCTTGACATTTGACGCGATTAAGAATAAAGGCTATGAGCTGTTAACCCACCAGGCAGCCCCGCTGGGCTTTTGTTAGAAAAGGCTTTCCTCAGAGCAAACACAAATTCCTGAGTTCTAGTCACCATCAGTCACCACGTTGCGAGACATCCCAAAATTCCTGGTGTGACGACAACTGATATGCAGGAAACTTCATAGAAACGGTCATTAGATTAGAAGAATGGGGTTTGACTCTGATTTACCAAAAGTGACGCGACTCTTTACACAAAAAAAGACAAAGAACCTCCAAAAAAAACACAATCAAACAATGTGTCGCTTACAGCAGGAAAGGTCTATTGTCTTTTAAAAACAACATGGTGATGTGGGAGGCTGCTTCCAGACAATTGCTTCAACTAAATTCAGTGTGAAGGTGTAGTAGTAGTTCTTCTAACAGCTGCTGTAGATCACGGCTCCAAGGAATTCCCCAACGTCGTTCTTTAAACGTTCCGACAGCAACAACGTTCAACACTTTCTCGAGGAGCGTTAGATGAGAAGATTGATACCACGCTCATGTCTGTCCATTAAATAGGAGGCCAGAGCCAGTCGCAGGTTAGCTTAGCGTAGCATAAAGACTGGAAACAGAGGGAAACAGCTAGCCTTCTCTGTTCGACCAGCACCTTTATTTCTCAATAATTAACACGTTATGTCTCATTAGGGTTTTATGCCGGGTGATGACAAGACCCCAGACCATCTGGTTACCTTTAGACACCTCAGTTTCCAGTCCAGCTTATGTTCTGCTGGCTGACTTTAGTATAGAGACACAAGCATGGATGTATAAAGCAAACGATGAGCACGCTTCCTTATTTGTAACTCACGTGATCGAACAACACGTTCTTATTCCAACAAGTCACATACTGACGCTTTGACAGACCAACAAAACCACTTAGTTAGGTTTAGGAAAATCATCATGTTTGGCTTAAAATAACTACTTAAACTAAGTAAAATGTCAACAATGTAATTTAAGAACAGAAAACGCATTACAAATATCTCTAACCTAACTTCAAAATAACTCAAATAACTCTGTTTGAAGTCCTGTTTATTTGAGCCATCAGTCTTCCCTCCCAACCACCGGCGGTGTGTTTGTTTCTGGCCTTATATACTACGATCTCTCACACCCAGAGCATGTTCTATAAGCGTCTAACAATCCCACGGATGGGTTTACATTGTAGTTATTTGGCAGTAGTGGTGTTTGACACCCTGGGAATGAGAAACTGGGCCGAACTAACCAATCAGAAGCTAGGAGGACTTAGAAGGAGGTAAACATGAAGAAAACCTCAGAGGTAGACGTACACGTTATTCATCTTTGGTTACTGTGATACCGGCATATGTGAAGTGCCATTGAACTCTTCTGCTGTACGGACCAGAACAGCAAAACTGTACAAATCTTCAAATCTGTAAGATCTCTACAGTCAAAACTTCAATGTAATGCTGCGACTGTGGTTAAGCACAGAGGACACACACACACACACACACACAACTATAGCTGCAGTACCAGGAACCCAGTCAAATGTTTACGCACACATAACCCGACTTCCTTGAAGAGAGGAACCGCGATAAAAGCAACACATACAGACCACAAGATGACTGAGGGCTCCTGCAGCCGTCACAGCAACACGACGCAAAGGTAGAAAGTGTAAAAGCAACGTCATCACCGTCTCTCACACACACTCACAAATCCAGGTCAGAAGCAAATACATACATATTGTTATACTTCCAAACACAACTTTACATCTGGTTGTGGAGGAGCAAGGTAGGATGGATCTTTATCCTTCGTTTCAGATTAGGGGAGGGATGGTTTTACAGCTTTAGTAGCCATAAAACCTAATCAGTGGAAGCCTTCACACACTCAGTGAGATAGTATACAGGGGTGTGTGTGTGTGTGTTCCTGAGCTTGCTAGATATATCCTGTGGTTTCCTTGCTCAAACATCTGCTGTTACTACCAGAGTGTGATTCTGTGAAGACGGGGGGGGGGGGGGGGGGGGGGGGGGGGGGG